GAACGCGGAAATCTTAACGATCTTCTCACAATTTTGCATTGCATCCCTCCCCTAGTTGGGAAGTGACATGCAGAAGACATGTTCACAACGCACTTTGATCGGAAGAAATAAAACCGCATTCTATTGGTTATTAGGTGTGTGGACATAACTACAGCAGAAGACACAGCTGCAATGCCACAGACAAAGTTCGTTGTCAAACTGCTCACGAGGGCAGACGAAGACCATGAGGCCGTTGACTCTACCTGTACACAATGTGATTTTTCCTTTGCTTTAGAAATGAGATTCATGAGTCATAATTTTTGGATGGGGGAACGGGGCTTTTTAAGAGTTTTTATCAACGAAAGGCTTTAAATCATGACTTACTATTAATAACTGTCAGGCTGATTGACTGACTGGTGTAATTTGTGATTGTTTGACTGACTTATTTTCTGATCAGTTGATTGATTGATTCTTTGATTTCCTAGGTGTCTGATTGATTGTATGGTGCTATGAATGAATGACTGATTGATTATCATCAATTGTCAGCCCAATAGTGCATTGATATTGTGAAGTATTTTCATGTGGTGTTGAAGTATACAGAAATGTCACCAAGCTCTGCCTTGGGTGTCAGTATTGATATCCTCTTGATGATAATTAATCCTTACACCCCTAAGAGTGATGATCATCTAATATCACACCTGAATCACACATGCAGGTCTTAAGAATAGAGAAAATGATCACTGACTGAGGAAGCTCTTGAATGTTAAACAAATCCTCCCTGTCAGCACCTTAGGGATGCATAGAGAACAGTATGGATAATATGCATACTGATGTTATGGTGTAGAGGGTGAAAAATAAACAGAAAAATACAGTCCCTCATGTTTAACTCTTTCTCTAGGCTGATAGTCTTTCTCATCCAGTTTTGTAGAACCTGCGTAGTAGAATAGGTTACACTTGTTGTAACCATTACACTACATGTTATTTTAACTCATTGTAGAAAGCTACTTTAGTGATATCACTCCTACTTTCCTGTATTTTTCAGATATACTGGGTTATCCAAATGGTGCAATAGGTGCAGCAGGAGTAACTGTGATAGTTATTCATATTATTGTTGGTTTTTACATCTGGGTTTAAAAATTTCCAATTTAGATATTTTTTATTATTACAATCCAAGATAGGGTAAAACAAAATAAAACAAGTTTGAACCTGAAAATATCTTAATTGTAGTAATATATAAAAATACCTTCTGTTGCACTCATTTCACTCAAATTTCATTGCAATGTCAATAAATGACAAGCATAAAACAATAACAGTTCAAATAATTTTATTTGACTTTTGTGTTTTACTCTTCAATGAAACATAAAGATCTTGTTTTATTGCATTCCACTTTGTGGAGTAACCAGCCAAATTATGTTGAGTAGTAATCATTAAATTATTTCTCTTTTCTGCTCAAGTTAACAATTTTGTTGTGAAAAACTTACTATGCCAGTCCTATGTTATTTCCCCCCTTTAATGCTAATAAACATTTTGGGGTTTTATTGAATGGTTCAACTATTTGTAATTTAACTATTTGTATCTGTTTTACTTTAGCAGTGATAGTTTTAGATTTTAAAGGGAATAACCCAAGCCTAAACTAAAGCTAGTGGATGTCATAGTTCACAGCTTAGTTGTAATATTGAATTTTAACCCTTTAACTCTCATGAGTGACCAAGACAGAATTTCTCCTTTCAATATCAATACAATTTCAAGAAGACAAGTGATGAGAATAAAGAAAAATCTTAATGAGCGGATTATTAGTTGATTCAATACCAGATTCCTCAAACTAACATCACAAGAACTATATGGCTGACAGTAAGGAGAATTACTAATGAGATCTTGGGAGTTAAAGGGTTAATAGAGAATGCCAATACTGGCCAGAACTTCATTTGTGTCATTCTCCTCATGAAAATTTGGTATAATAAAATAAAATTAATTAGTCTGTGTTCAGGCTGCCTAAAATTTATTTTAAAATTCCTGAGCTCTGAGAATTTGAACCTTTTTGATAATTGTATTATTTTATTTTATGAATCTTGATTCACATCAATTGAACAAATTGTAGGCTGGATAAAAGTCATCTTGATTTTCCACATGAACTTGTTGTGTTTCGTGGTCCTCATTAGATAGGTCTGCTAAGAACAGGGCTTTCTTCATCAACTCTCTGTTCGTAATTGAGCTGGGCTGCTGCGTGGTACTGAAAATTTTCACAAAATGTCATAGTTGATGAACAAAGGAAGCACATACAAGAGGTTGATATGTGTGAAAAGAAGAGAAGTTTGACACATGAGATTGCAGATCAGAGAATTCTCTACCACTTGTGCAGAGTTCTCCAGCTTAATTTCACAAGCTTGGTTCTTTTTTCTTTTAATTAGACTTGGAGAGCATTTTCCCATTTCTTCATTCTATTCTCCTTCTGCTACAATTCTTAATGAAAACCTGTCGTAAGATAGCAAACTTAGTCAAGTAGAAACTGGCCTGATTTTCTTTTTTTTTTCAATCAATGGGATACATTGATACAAACTATTTACTTAATAACTTTCCTAGAACCTGAAAAACTGCAATAAATCATAAATTTGATAGATCAACTCGTGTGATTTGATTCATAGTGTTATTCTCATTTCAGCTTCTGTACATTTTCTTCTGGATTAGTTGTGAGAATTTGGTATTACAGCAAGGTACCACTCTTTGGCTGATGAGTTTGTCTGTTCTCATCTTAAGTTTGCCCAATAATGGCTTGGTATTGTTAGGAGAAGTTAGATGTTTAATCTACTGTGGGATCTGAAGGGCTAGGAGAGTTGTCAATCCTACCTGATCAGTGATGATGTCTTGTTGTCTCAGAAATTTGAAATAGGAGAAAACACACATCATGAAATACACCTAGAAAAAGACAAAGTTCCTGTGTTGTTAAATCATTATTTCTGAAAAAATATTGAGATTGATTCATCTGTTCGAAAGGCTTTTATTCTTTTATTTTCCAATTATTTGGTCAGATTGATTCATCTGTTCGAAAGGCTTCTATTATTTTATTTTCCAATTATTTGGTCTAATAGAGGAATACAAACAAAACAATTTTCCATTAACAGGTGGGTCTGTCATTCATTTGACTTTTCATTGCAGGAAACTGACTTTTCAGCCTCTAAGAGAACTTGAAGTCATAATTGAGCAAGGGACATGAAATGGTTATGGAAAAAGGCCCAAAGAAAATTTTATTTTTTCTCTGTTTTTGTTGCTGTTGTTTTTGTTTCAAGAAAGCAAAATCAAGTAAATTTTATTTTTGCGGTTCGCTTGAAAAAATTGTGCCGTCAAAAGCTTTCTGGGCTGAACTTTTTTCCCCTTCGTACGTATTAATGAAGTTTTGTTCTACTTACAGCGATGACAAGTGTGATTGCCTCCGATATGTAGACGGAACATTTCAGCTGCAATAAAACGACAATCAAGTGCACTGTCAGATTCTAAGAGCAATGTCTAACAGCATTTAAGGTCTGAGTAAATCGGGCTTTGAAATATATTGTGAAGGACAGTGACCTGGAAGGTGCGTAAGACAACCTCCTTCAAAGGAAACGAAAGTAACGAAGCTAGAAATGCGTGTTTACCCTACACAGTGTGAAAACCTTCACGTAATTCCCCCCTCTCTCTAGTTAACGCCATGCTGAAGGAAGTTCTTACCACACGCCGGTGGGCTTCATAAACTGGTTGGAAATTTAATGCTTGCTCTTCCCTTCCCCCCCCCACAATTCACGACAACGATTCGTGGTCACTTACCTTGACATCGGAAAGCGCATAAAAAATGATCACAAAGATGGAGGAAAGCTCCTCAATCAAGACCCACACCAACCAGGGACACAGTAGCCACTTCAGGCGCTGAAGAAATAGATGAAAATCCGATTGAATCAATTACAACTATCGACATGTCCTAAACCTTAATCGTGAGTGCACGAGGGTCTGTTTCCAAAAACATAATTAGCGCACATTTCCAGGTTTTCTGTCAGTATTTCTCAGTAGAACTTCGGGGGTATTACCAAATGAGAATCCCCCCCTTCAGCTGACATTTTTATAAATTCAAGTACATAATATCACCTTACCAGTAACACGTCTATCAAGTCTCTAATCTATAAAAATTGCCTCTTTTTTCACAATAACGCTTCGTTGTTCATTTATAAATGAATCGAGGCGTGCGCTTGACAACTTGACTTTCATACATTTTTATTCTAAACAGATGTTATTTACAAATGATATTAGTTTACCACGAACATCTGTTTTCCGAAAGGTCGAATTTGAACTTCAACAGAAGACAAACGTTCGACGCTAAATACTTTAACTCCCACGAGTGATCAAGACAGGAGTTCTCCTTACAACATTAATACAATACCAAGCAGACGAGTGATGAGAGTGAAGAAAATATCAATTAGGGGAATATTATTTGATCTAATACCAAATACTCCAAACTGATGTCAAAAGAATTGTATGGCAGACAGTAAGGAGAATTAATGGTGAGATCTTGAGAGTGAAAGGTTTTAAATTAGTCGATAAAACGCGAAATCAGTGAGTAAACCTTAAGTAGGCCAAACATCATCAATAGTGACACTAAAATGGACACCGCTGCCACTGACAACTGAAGGATTGTTATGAGCTGGAGAGCTATAGAGGAATAAATTTGATAAACACAGTTAGTATTTCTCAAAGGTGTATACCAATAATTTTTCGGTTCATTTCACTGAAGGCGTAATGACTCTATCTAAAATGATTCATAAGAACGCGTATTTTTTCCGGAACTTTGGAAAGTCACTTTGCGTCAACGCCTCAGTAAGTTTTCGACAGAAATATTTCATATTTATGTAGTTTTACACTTAAAGCTTTTCACGTTTGATTAAGCTTACATTGTTACTCGATCAGAGAAACAATTTAATGACTATCGCAGTTAGGGGTACTATTATTAGGATATACGCTGCGTCATAACGGCCAGTGTAAACTAGGATTATCAACAAACGATGTAATATTGTGCAGCCTACTTGTAGCATAGATCAATACACTGAGTCTGACCATAAATAAACATTCTCTTTGAACACAGCTTCACAGGCGCGTTGAGAAAGGGCCCACCACGCTCTCCCTTTGGCCTATAGCTTGTTACTTGTTTGAGGAAAGAAAACCAAGGTATGTATTACATGATAACGCTTTTGCAGGTCGCAATTTGTGTCGATTCGTTATACTTTTACCTTATGATTATTTCAGTTTCGTTCCTTGTCGTGCGAAGATGCACAGGAAGTGAAAATTAAACTGCTGAAACTGCGAAAATTTCAACTCCTTATATTAGACATTGTCATTACCTGATTAGCAAGTCCATAGCGCTATTTGTCAGAGCCCACACGAGAGAAATGAAACTCTCATTCAATGAATATAAAACGATTCAAAGAGCACAATGAAAATCGCAATTTTACTCTTAGAGAACTTACTTTTAAAGTTGATACGCAGCTGGTTTCTCGTATCCAATGTCATCCGCTGGCGAAACTTTAGATTAAACTCCTCAAGATAAACTCTTGCCGTCCCGATGAACTACAAGCGAAAAAAACCAACATACATATATCTTAGATTACAGAACCTCTGACGATCCACTCACCCGGAAATAAGCGGTACAAATATAATTCTTTCCTTACCAAGCTGCATAATCCACAGACCCATGATCCTTCGTAGATACTAAAGCAACACAGAAATGTTTTAATGACCATTTTCCCCCAGTTTTGGGAAAAACTTAGCTTGTGGTTTGAACGATTCGAGAAAGATGTGTCTCCTTATGTTGATGATATCTGCTTTTCCGTTTTACATTAATTTATTCTTACAATATGGGACTTTCCATCTTAAACCGGCTTCACAACTTTCATTTTCGAGACGTCTACATGGTGTTTGACATTAACAGTTTCGAAACTAACCAAAACTGGTTTACATGGCATGACGGAAATGCTTGGCAAAAAGAGTGTCTCAAATATTTGCTCTGGAACTTGATCATAACGTCAGCCTACCGTGCACTTTTTCCATGAATTAGACGCGGTTGAGTGAAGTCACTTCCGGTCTAATAACTGTTTGCACGCCCATGCCTGCCTATGAAATCTTTCCAAATTTTCCTTACCAATGTCACATGCCGGGTCACAGGGAGACGACCCTGTAGATTTAAGGCCGCGTAACGTCAGCTATTTGATACGCTTAGTATCAAATAATTAGTAAGTTATATAGTTGGACTTCTTACATTTTTTATATTTGCAACGGTCGATCTCGGCTGCATCTCCCTAGGCTTTAAACGATGGCGGCGATCTCCGCTAGAGGGCCAAGTATACTGAACTCTGCAGCAAAATGCGGTAATCTTAGATTTCGTTTTCAATGGATTGAAAGATTTTCCAAGCCAGTATCGTTTGGATTCTGCAAAAGTGTTCGCTGTTCATCCACAAGGTGAGTGAAGTACTCTAACTCACGTGAATGTCCGTCAATCTTTGCTTGGAGACGCGATTCAATCGCATTCGAGGTTCGATGGTTATGACCGATCTCCTCCCCAACAACTTTTCCTGTTCCATAGCAGGAACAGGGAAGAAGATCTGTGAGGAGGATTGCATTTCAGGGGCTCTCTTTATAGAATGAAAAATTTTTGGTAAAGTTTCCGTACAGCCCCATACTATTGTAAAACAAATCTGTTTTCCTAATGTAAATATATTGTTTTTGTCACTGTTTTCTCTATTCAAGAACTGAATGCATAATGTAGTATGTCGCTTTGCGGAAATTTTACCAACACTTATTAGGGGAAACGTCAAAAAATGTCAACAATTTTAAAGTCTGCTTCTTAATTGTCTTCACTTTCGCTGTCGGTGTCAAATTCATTCTCTAACTCTTAAAGATCTGTAAAAATTTGTCTAGTTGACGCATGCACATGCAATATTTGCAATGTTTGGCTGGCCTAATCTGTCAGATATTAAAAAATTTGACAAATTCCCAGTTGGGATATTCCAGAGATACACAATAACCATTCCTTACCCCTCACCCCTTATTCTCATGAAGGGGGGGGGCGGGGGAAGGGCAGAAACAAAATCAGTAGACGCAACCTACCAGAGAAATGAGCCAGAATGACTTGGGCTAACCCACTCAGCCAAGACACAGGAGTTAGGCCATACCAGTTGTCTGGGATCTTGGATCTTGGAGTCATTCTTCAGTGACTTAATCAACAGGACAGGATACTTTTTACACAGAATCATATTTACCCAACCTGCTTGGTGTACCCCTGCTTCTGGTACTCTAAATTTCTTTTTGTCTTAATAGACAGAAATGCACAAGAAACACAACCTGTCTGGTGCAATTTCCCATCAAATGTTAAAAGAGGGGGTACCATTCCCTTCCCTAGGGGTTACCAAACCAGCCCAGCCTTTGAAATTGAACCCTCAGCTATAACCCTAAACTGTCCAAGAGTGATATCAGTAAAGCTCCCCTGGTTACCAACATGATAATATAACTCCACTTTATCTCAAACAGTTCTCACGAGAAGCTCCAGTTTAGTTATTGTCATGGAATATCTTCAAAACGTTTCATTGGTGAAACAATTGGACAAAGGCTAGATATGACCGTGGAGAAATTCCCAGACCGTGAAGCTTATGTCTGCTGTGAGGACAATGAAAGGGCCACGTTTGCTGAATTCCAGGGAGAGGTAAGAGTTACCCCTTAAGTTAATCCCTGGGAGTGACAAGCATCTAGTTTTTCTTAACAGTATCACCCTTGAATCAAACTTTAAGGTCACAAGAGTAAAGGAAATGATTACAAACTCCAAAATCTCTGAATTTTTAGACATATTCTCCTTGTAAGGTAACCATAGGAATGTATAGAGAGCAGTGTGGAGAATATGCATACTGATAGTAGGGTGTAAAGGGTTACCAGACGAGACAAAACAACTTCAGTAACCATGGATGATAAGTACAGACAAGCTGAGCCAGAAAAACTGGGTCAACTTGATCAAATCAAGGCTCTCTGGTCAAATTTCTTCATGAAATAATAAAAGTAATGACCTTAAAAAGTTTTATTTCATTGTTTGACTGGTTTTGTTCAATTTGACTTTTCTTCTTATGAGCTCCGACCAGAAAAGTTTTTCGACCATGGGTCACTCACCTCAAATGCAAATTAATCTTTATTCATTACTCGTTACTTTATTTATTTTGTAGGTAAACAATCTTGCTGCTGGACTTCTTGCTATGGGGTTCAAGAAAGGTGACCGTGTAGGAATGTGGGGTCCTAACATGAGAGAATGGGTTATCACTCAGTTTGCCACTGCCAAGGCTGGGTTAATATTGGTAAGTGCACTGAGACTAATACTGGCTAATGGTGATAATACATTTTACTAGGAGTAGGGAAATACCACCTTGCATTGGATATGATATTCACAAATTCCTGGATACACAGGGCAGATTAATATTAGCTTGAAAATACCAATATTGGGCTGATGTTAGACTTGAACTGCCAGTAATGCAAAATCAAAATTTATGACATTGATTTTGCATTGGTGGGTTAAGATGAGTGAGAATAATAATTAAAAAAATTATTTTCAAGGAATGTACCACATATAACTTGGACCAATATTCCTTTTTTTTTAAATCTTTTGACAAAACTTTTATTTTTTTTTGTAGGTAAACATAAACCCTGCTTATCAAACTCCTGAACTTGAGTATGCTTTGAAAAAGGTAAATGTTGAGAATAGCTCATTAGTAAATAACTAATAATCTAAATTTTTTCATTGCAAGATCAACTGGTCTTTGTAACATAATTATTTGCTAAATTTCAGGTTGGCTGTAAAGCAATCATTATGGCTGACAGGTTTAAAACACAAGATTACTACAGCATGTTGACGCACATTGTACATGAACTGCCACAGTCAAAACCAGGCGATCTCTTTAATGAAAGGTCAATCATTTATTTATTTAATAAGACTTTAAAAATAAATGATGTTTACACTTGTGCTGATGTCTTGTGCTTGTGAAGTAAAGTTTACCAGAGAGACACTGCTAGTCAAGAGATTCAGATCGCACTATTACCTATTAACATTTCTGTGATAATATTTAACAAAATTTATGTTTTCAAAGTTTGAGTTTCAGTGGCCATAGATAGTTAGTCAGTCAAGTTTGTGCATCTTATGGTAGAGATAGAAGGATGATTTGTAAGTATTCAGGTAATTATAACATTGACCAGCTTCCATAATAAGTCTGAAAAGACTTGAAATTCTTCAATATCAATTTTCAGGCTTAGAGAGGCATGGAATTTCAAAGTAGGTCATGGACAATTATGGAAACAAATGAACCTAATAGTAATTTTATTTTAGAACAATACTACACTTTGCAATGCAGTATGATATGTGATATCATTCCTTCTTGTTTAATACTTGGCATTGGTGGAAGGGGTACAGAGTTTTAATTAATACCTCTACATTACTTGGTATATTTTTATAGTTGGCCAATTGGGTTAACAAATTTTTTTGTCAATAACAATGTCATCTTTGATTTTCTTTACAGAGTTCCTGATCTTAAGCTGGTTGTTATGGCCAGTAAAGACCATCAAAGGACCTTCAGGTAACAGATGCTTTTATTTGTATTAATACAGCAAGGAAAGGCCAATACCTGTCAACTTGATTATGACTGGACTGTCGTTTCAGTGGTACAATGTCATTTCAAGAATTGATGGAGATTGGAGGAACAGAAGAGAGAAAAAAGTTGGAGGAGTTAAAGAATGAACTCCAATGTGATGATCCTATCAACATCCAGTTTACGTCAGTAAGTTGCGCTCAAAGAGAGCGAAAGCTAAAGGGGAAGGTTTCTTTGTTTTGTTGTCATTCTTGATAAATCATGACGTTATATCTGTTGGTTAATTTGCAGGGTACAACTGGTAACCCAAAAGGAGCAACTCTGTCTCACCACAACATTCTAAACAATGCATATTATGTGGGAGAAATTTTGGATTATGAGAATCAGGTATGTTTCTTCTTTTTGGCACAATGGCGCATGACAAGGAACTAAAATCATTCCCAGGACCAAATTCTCATTGTATACACGTGTATTTTGTTTTGTTTAGTACTCCAGAATATGTATTCCTGTTCCACTTTACCACTGTTTTGGGATGGTGCTTGGAAGGTGAGTATATATACCGCTAATTTAGTGTTAACAACTGTGTTGAAAACGTAAATTAGCCACCGTAAAGAGTTTTAAGGCTGACGTTTCGAGCGTTAGCCCTTCGTCAGAGCCATTGGAGGAATTGTGGGTTGTGTGTGGGTTTATATCCAGAAAATGGAGCTACGCTATTGGTGGGAGTATGGTGACGAGAAAACAAGAATAAATTAGTGGAATGAAAAGCGCTCGTTGTTTACAGCTACTGCCTTTTAAAATTCCCAAGAAAAACCTGAGCGTTCGACCTTCTTCGACCCTTCCTTTCTGTCTTCCGCTGAGAGCTTACCAACACTGATTCAATAAAGCTCTTCTGGAGTAAGGCAATAAGATTTCAACGCAACACAAGTTGTAGATTGAAGCTATAACGGTTCGTTTATCGTAAAAAGATGATGAGGAATTTTCCAGGTTGCCATTCATAATCTGCTTCAATCTTCTCCACCCTCAACTGTCGTCTTTTGTACTCTGTTAAATCCCACCGCGTTTTTTCACCATCCCGTGGATATATGTGGTGGTTTGCTGAGTTGACGATAACTTTGTATACAGGAAAAACCATAAAGCGAAAAATATCGAAACATCGCCGCTCTCTAAATGGAAAAGGATCATTTTTATTTCACTAACTTGCTCGAGGGAAAACGCCAATTTCACAAACATTGTCAAATCTTTTAACAATGTTAATTTTCCAGAGATTGACCAATAGGTCGAGAGATTACCATCTTCAAACATTGCTTTTCAGTTTAATGAGTGCTACCTACGGAACTACCTCAGTTTATCCATCTCGAGGGTTTGACCCTGGCGCCGTTTTGACAGCCATTCAGCAGGAAAAGTAAGTTTTGTATCAGATTCGCTCCATACAGTGATTTGGGAAACCCAATTTTTTTTTTTTTGGGGGGGGGGGAGGGGGGAAACCAGTTTGTTCATTACCGATACCCATCAGTACTCTTGGGTGGAGTCAAAAAATACAGCCCAATGACCCGGCCAAAGATCGAACATCTGTCGGAATTCTGCTGTTTAAAGGCATCGAAAATGTATGGTTTGTTGGTTATTTTTGTATTTTTTGCAGATGTAATTCTCTTTATGGTACGCCTACGATGTTCATCGATGTCCTGAATCACCCCATGTTGGAAAAGTTTGATGTTAGCAGTCTTCGCACAGGTCAGGAAGTGGTGATACTTGTCCGTAGATGCTGTTGTACCGTGAATGCTTCTGATTTATGAATTCAAGACTCTTTATTTTGTCAGTATTTGATTTTACAGCTTGGATTTTGTATTCTCAGGTGTTATGGCCGGCTCACCGTGTCCTATTGAGGTTATGAAACAAGTTATAACAAAGCTCCACATGCCACAAGTTACGGTAAATAGCAACATGTTCGAACAAAAGATGACGAGCAGACAGTTACACTCGGTCGGTCAGCTAGTCGACCAGGCATCCTGTCAGTCAGTCATACTGTCAGTAAGCTAGACAGCAGTCGGTCAGTGAGTAATTCAGTCAATTTTTCTGCCATTACTTAGCCAGTAGGTGACTCAGTTGCCCATGTAGTCTTTCGCTCTAACAAAGAGCTAACGCTCGAAACGTTAGCTTAGAAACTCTTTACCGTGGCCAATTTACATTAAATTATCTGCCCCACCGACGCAGAATCACAGTTTCATTAGAAACTTACCTCCGTTAGTGGTTTTTCATTTGGACAGACAGTCATTCAGTCGCTCAATCTAGTCAATCTGTGAGACAGATTGACTGACAGACAGCGAGTCAGACAGACAGTAAATCAATTAGCCTATCAGTTAATCAGTTAATCAGTCAGGCAGGTAGTCAGCTTTTTCGTCACACATCCTTACTTGTTAGACGGATACACAGACAGAAAGTGAGTCGTCAAGCAGCCAACCAAACTTTTAACGAAACAGAATGTAGGTCAATCAGCTTATTAGTCAGTCTATCAGTCAAACACAGAGTCATGCAGTGATGTCCAGCAAATTTTTATTTTCGTTCTTAGATCTGCTATGGTTTAACTGAAACAAGCCCTGTCACCACACAGACATTGATGGATGACCCGATAGATTTGCGAGTCTCTACGATTGGACGCGTTCATCCAAATAATGAGGTAAGTGTTTGATGGCATATAAAAGACATCTTTGGCAAGGACTTCTATTTTGTAAACCGCTAAATAATACACACCTGTTGCAGGCGAAAATCGTGGACAGTGATGACCGTGTGGTACCTGTCAATACAGCAGGGGAGATTTGCTTTCGAGGTTACAATGTCATGCTGGGATACTGGGATGACAAAGAAAAGACTGACGCCTGTATTGACCCCAGCGGTTGGTTTCACAGTGGGTAAGTACTTCATAAAATGTTCTGCGAAAACGCAGAAATGTGCGTTTGATAATTCGCTTTTAATCGAATCGTTTGGTGACGCTATTCACTATTGCCGATTTTTAAAGGGATTTAGCCACGATGGACGAAAATGGATTCATGAAGATCATTGGGCGAATAAAGGTATTTTTTGTCTTAATCTGCGGGTGAAAAAAAATTTCTAATTTTGAATTTTCGGTCACCAATACTGAATAAAAGTACAATAACGTATTGTTACCGTTCATTTCCACGATAAGCTAGGTAACAGTTTATTTCTTTTTCTTTTATAACTTTAATTCTTTTTTGAAGGATCTTATTATTCGTGGGGGAGAAAATATTTATCCAACAGAGGTGGAACAATTTTTGTACACACATCCTAAGATACAAGATGTTCAGGTAAATTAACTGTTTCACCGTCATTTTAATCCTTCTCTTGTTCCAGTTAATACCTATTGTTGTCAATTTGATCTGCGGCTTTCGCCTGACATTATAAACACATTCAACACAGCGTCGGTTGTAGATAGGAAAGGTTATTGTTGGTTAGTTTGAGCCTAAATGGCCCATGACTGCTACTGCTTATACTCGATTTTCGTTGCATGAAGCGACTACGACTATGTTTACCCTCCCTGGGTGGGATGCTAGCGCATAAGAGGTTACTTCCCGCATTCCATCAAGCGCCCCTCTCCACTCCCACTGAGGTGAAAGAGATACTGTGAGAAAAAGTGTCGTGCTCATTGAGAACACAACTCTATGACTTAGCCGGACCAATGACCCAGCGCGCTCTAGCTAACTGCTAGACAACTACGTTTTACTTACTTAAATTCAAATAAGTTAGTTTTTTCCTTTCTTTTTTCGGCATCCTTTCAGGTGATCGGTGTTCCGGACCCTCGATTGGGAGAAGAAGTCTGTGCATGGATTAAGTAAGAATTAAATTTCTTCCCGGAAGTATTGTTCCTAGCGATAGTCCTTTTAAGGCATTCTTCTCTCACGACCGAAATGCGGAATGTTCACCATACGAAAGTGAGATGAAGAGCACGTGATCATGAATCGACTAATCAGCCAGGAGAATTTAAATTCTCAAGGCGTTCTAATGGATGTAGTTAAATTCTGTTTTGATTGGATGATTTACTTGACAATTCGATACTCTGACTGGCTACTGGTCATAAAAAGTCGTCTTTTAATGTACTGTGCGGGTAACATTGGCATCATGATGTCAGATACATCTTTGTGTTTTGAATCGCCTTTGTCTGAACGAAAAATGATCTTTATTAGGTTGCACGCAGGTGAAACAGCCACACCGGAAGAAATCAAAGAATTTTGTAAAGGCGAGGTAGGTTTAAAGACCACTTCGACTTTCGTTCTTAATGAAATCAATTGCGTCAAAATCCCCATGTTGTCTTTTTCTTCACATTTCTTCGAATTGTGCCTTTTCCAGCTGTTTGATGTAAGCCAATCACTGCTGAGTATAATAGTTGAAAAAGTGACGCCGATACAGTCGGCCTCATCGCTTGAAGAAGACTCGTAGTATGCAGTCGAAGTGTTGCTCTTTACATCCGAACTAACTTCATTGTGGAATAAACGATGATGCTTCGTTTCAATATCTGTTCCCTTTTTTTTCAGATCTCTCATTTTAAGATTCCTCGCTATATCAAGTTCATTGATGAATTTCCTCTCACCGTGACGGGAAAGGTAAGGATGCCGGGTACAGAGAAGGGAATACACGGGGAGATACAAAATCATTCAGGGAATTTAAGACGCAGCGGGAGGGGAGTTCGTAGTCATTTTGTCACTAAGAACCTGTTACCCAAACTAATGACAAACTCAAATTTCGCGTTTCCTCAGGTGAAGAAGTTTGTTATGCGAGAGAAAACTAAAGAAGAGCTGAATCTTTAAATCAAGGAGAGATGATTGCAAGAAAAGATTTTAAAGCAATGATCTTCACAATGCGTTGGCTGGACCATATGGGACACTTTGGTGATACTTTCTTGGACCAATCACGTCTAACTTTATGAAACAATTTCAAAAGATGCTTCCTTGAAGTATAATCATGCGCTGTGAGAATGTGAAATTCTTCATCCTTGTATATATAAATAAAATTACTAAGAGGACGCGTAGAAAAGACAAAGGTTTCTTAGACTTACTTTTAATGGCATCGATGAACTGTAAAGGAATACAATAACGGAGACACACTTTCGTTTGAGGTACGTGTCGAAGAAAAAAGCTCCGTGAAGATATAACTATTAAAATAGATTCTACGTAAAAGTACACGGTTAAAACAGATCTATTTTTACTACTTTCTTAAAACAAAATTTCTGTATCCTTTTTGCTCAGAATTACGTTGCATAAAATTTGTACTCGTTTTTCGCTTGTTCCCTCATGACATATTTCATAACCTAAAGAGAAAAAAGTTTATTAGATTGATTAAAAGCTCTCCCATATATTTACTGAGGGGGCACTTTTATTTCGCAGCGTTTTTTCGTGGAACTTAAATAGTGACGTGAACTATCACCAGTAATAATTATAACTGTTATTGTTGTTTTTCAGTAAATGGTTTGAACACAGGATTAAGAGTTGATCGTATGATCTGATGGCCCGGGTGAGAGTAGTCCTGGAAAAAAACTGATGTCGGTTGTGGTGACTAACGTTTCGACAACCGCGGTGGAAGTCGTCAGTAGAGCCTCCGGTGAAGTCATATCAGAGTCTCTGATGACTCTGAAAATGACTTCCGCTAAGGTTGTCATAACGTCAGTCACTACTATCAGCACCAGTCCTTCTCAGGATTACTCTCACTCGTGCGATCTGACTTCACCATCAGCTGTCGTTGTTTAATGTCGTAGAATACAATTTAAACCAGATTTGACCACCAAAAAGAAAAAAAAAAGCCAAGAAAAATCTCTACCGACTACTTTACCTTTCCAGACGCTGTCATTGGATAATCATCAACGAATTTGATATACCGAGGAATCTTAAAATAAGCAATCTGTTGAACCCAAAATAAGTGGTAAATTAGGGCCTTTCCGCACTAGCGATAAAGTTGTTTATTTAGACAAATTTACTGTCATCACCAACATTTTACAAGTACATTAATTGATGTTTGGGGAAAAAAGGTTAGGTGTGCACTCGAGCCAAGAGGCCCCGCTTCCTGTAACATGAAGCGACTCTTAATTGCTACTCCCCTGTATGGAATGCAAATTCATTGCAGGTTACCCACCCCTCCCCTCTCCCCAGAATTTCGTCAGGGTACCCTGACAATTCGCCAGTACCCATTTCTACTAATGGGTGGAGAGGGGAAATGTGATAGTCATATGTCTTACTCAGGAACACAGCTTAATAACCCGGCCAGGTCATAAACGCGGAATCCAGCGCACCGACAATTAGGCAGCCGCTAATCTCGTACCCAGATCCTGCCGTGTACCTGTAACTGAAATGTGTAACCGCTTGGCTGAGAAAGGTCTGGGTACGAGACTAGGCAGCCGCGTTTTCCTCCAAAATGATTTTGACAATCATGGAAAAAGTAACTCGACCACAAAGGAAAAGTAAATTCTACGATGAAAAACCAACTACTCGTCAGTGATTAACAAACAGCATATTGATTCATTCCTGTAACTGAGAATCCATTTTGCTCCCGAATAAGCGTTCTATTAATTTCACAGCCAAGACTGAAAGATGTTGTACGTAACCTGATCCTTGCAGAAATCTTTAACCTCCCCCGCAGACATAGTTTCTCCTGCTCTCAGCCTAAAAGAGGGGGCAAAAAAATTTATAATGGAGATTATAAGTTCTGACTGCGGTTTTTACCAGAGTACAGGGCAGGTTTGTGAAGTTTACCTCACTGAGTAAGATTTTGGGTAACGCGACTGGTGGATGCACCATGTAAGCTCTATTCATTTATAACAAAATGGCCTTTTAATGGAGTAACTTACTTTATCCAAGCACAGACCTCTTCTCCAAGTCTCTCGTCTGGCACGCTAATAATCTAAACAATTGAAAACCTAATCATAAACTTCGCAAATTATTTAAAGAAAAAGACACCCTGAACATAATTTCTCTCATACACCGTTCCTTAAAAGTCGAAGCATAATGAAATTTTTGTTGCTTTCGAAGATGAGGTAGGCACAAGTTTTAAATCATTCAAGTATGAAACCAATGTGTATGCCGTACTTGCGTCCCTTATTTTACAATTTTAAAAGATCAGTTACACAACTTGGATACACTTACATTTACTACAACCTGACTCAAAAAAAAAATCGGCAAATATTTTGCCCTTTTAGGGATATATGTATCTTTACCTGTGCATCCTGTATTTTTGGATGAGTGTGTAGAAAGTATTCAATTTCTGCTGGGTAGACGTTTTCTCCCCCACGCATGATAACATCCTGTGGAAAGATCAAATGGTGTTCAGTAATGCAGGTGCAAAGTAACGAAAAACATTCCAAGAGTTTCTCGATTGAGTAACGTAATCACATCGGCCAATCAGAGCAAGGCAAACTATCCAATGGAGACAATGAGAACTAAAACAAAAACAAGCAAACTGCTTGGAGCGCGGAAAATGTTAGTGAGTCGTGCTTGGTTTTAGTTTCGCATCTGATTGGTTGAAAGTTAGGACGATTTTTCTAGACCAATCACAGAGTGCGGTGGAGTAAAGACTAAAACAGTCTCAAATTATAAATCAAAGTTACCTTCAATCTTCCAACGATCCTCACATATCCACGTTCATCCATTGTTCCCAGATCCCTAAGAAAAATGAGGTTTTTTTAAGAGTGAGGCGTGGACCATAGACAGCTGAAGTTGTTAGCTTGAAATGCGCAATTATCGGTGTGTTCGGTAGAGTGTTAAGTGCTCCCTAAATATATTGGGCTTACTCGTAAAAGAGAGCCCTCCATTGCTCGTTACCAGAGAGCAGCATGGCGATTCCAGGTACTATTGTCTTCCTCAAGCTAGTGCCTTAGTGAAATCTCGTACCCAGATCGCACCGTGTAACTGTAATTGAACGTGGAAGGTTTGCGTACGAGACTAACTTTAGTGATATCCTCCCGGTTTCGCGACCCACCTATATAAAGCAAGGAGGAAAAGAACGAAGAAATGCCTAACCCCTTTCAAGTACATCCTCCTCATTAGAATATATTGTGTTCTTTATGTAGGTAGCCCTGTCTCCTTCATCTTACCCACTGTGGAACCATCGTGATGGCTCAATAACATCTTCAGTTTCCTCTTCCTCTCCCCAGTACCCCATCATGACAGAATATCCACGGATGCATATTTCCCCAGGCGTATTTACAGGCACAATGTTTCCTTTGAAGTCCACAATCTTCATCTGTTGAACGGAAAAGGAACATTTTGACCTTACTTAGTTCGTTTTAACAATTCACATAAACTTACATTTGCTTGCTTCAAAATACATAAGGGAATCAAGCAGGTTAACGAGCGTTTGATCAGTTACTTATGGGCTAATAAGACACCATTTTAAAGAGAAGTTTGTCCTGCATATTGCTGAAGATTTTCGAGAAGCAACATGTCATTAAACTGTGTCACACCAGGAGCCATTGTTAGTTGATGGTTGTTCCTGCACAGAAGAAACAAGCGAGACTCATTAAAGTCATCACAGGAGACAGTCGCATAAAAAGCCTGTGATTGGGGCTATATTACCTCTGTGTGCGGGTAAACCTTTCCTACGGTGGTAACTTTTCTTTCCAAAGGGTCATCGAATGGTGTTTGAGTAACAAGTGGGCCTGTCTCTGTCAAACCATAGGCTACCTAGAATTGAAGGGTTACCACAGTTACGGTAGTGAAAGAGGACACTCACGGGCGCTTGTTCGGGGAGAGGCTCTACGTGGAGGATTTATGGCATGCATGCAAAATGTAAGTTTACCGTCAACTGCTTCAGGTTCAGTTTACTGATAGCTTGTCTCATTACTTCTTCAGGACAAGATGTAGCTCCAAACAGGCCTACAGGTCAACAAAAACAAAAACTTTGAACATTAGAGATGTTGAACGTTTTTCAAATGCAAAACAGGCAAACGGAACCGGAAGGAGAAAGCGACCGATTTTGCCGCGCTTTGACCTCAACCAATTGTAATCAGTTGGAACTAGATAATACGCCACAGAGAAAAACATCTGTGATAACCTGCCGGGAAAAGAACGTGCAACAGCAGCTTCAGCCTACAGCTTGGTTCTCAAAAGTGCTTTCTCGTTCCATGACCAAGTAGGTTCATGCCACTTGTTATGTACAAAATATAGAAATATAGTTCAATTTTCACGCGCAAATAATTAGACCGTGTTCCTCTTCCTGCAAATAAGGCTCTCTCACCCCACCCTCCTCTCACCCAACCCCCCCCTCCCCGCCTTCGCACCTCACTGACTCCCCCGACATGGAGTGTGGATGCTGATCCAACACAGGTAACCCCCCTCAGTATGTTGTGAGGAGAAAACTTGAATTTACCTTTTCTTAAGCTCGATAGGTCGTAATTCTTTAATTCAGGGTGAGCAAGAATATCAATTACCATTGGAGGCGTTCCATACAAAGTGTCACATCTGTAAGACAAACAAACCTCGTGAAAAAGGCGATGCCGTAAGCGCGGATGAAAGTATTATTTTCTATTCTCGACTCCTGACACGAAATTGATCGTGTTCAGAATTCGTTCATTTTCAGCCAGCCAAAGTGCAAGGGGTCTCATAATGTACGTGACCTCTCCTCTCCTTATCGAGAAATGAAAATGATAATTATCGAGAAATAAAAATGATAATTATCGAGAAATAAAAATGATAATTATCGAGAAATAAAAATGATAATTTTAAGTACTAAACGACCTAATAAACCCCTAAATGTTAGTTCGACGTTAATAAACCCACGTCCTAAGTGTTAATTCGACGTTAGTTAGAAACTCGAAGGGCTAACGCTCGAAACGTCGACTGACAAATCCTGAGAAACGCTACACGTCCTAACAAATGTAAGATGAGGGGCAAAGTTATCCAGAGACAGTGCAAAGGAAAAGGCGGGGGAAAAGTATATAAGTGAACATTAAGATAATGCCAAAAATGATCTTTCCTACTTCTCTTCTTGTACCGCTTTCAGTATGGCAGTACTGTTATATCCACGGGATGGGTAGACAACAGAAACTCCCCAAACTACATTCACCAAACTATAATGTAAAAACAGAAAGATTTAAGCAGACAATCCATTCCCAAATTGCTTTTGTCAGCTATCCTAAAGATCAATCCTCTTATAAAGACGCTTGAAAGCCGGGAAATACACTTGAAAGCCGGGAAATACACTTGAAAGCCGGGAAACGGAAAGGGGAGAAGAGTGGCCCTGGGAACGAGATTATAACCTCGTTAGGGTGATTGACAAACGCAAACGACTCATGCTGGACCAACTGCGACTTAAGAAGTTTCACGGCTTTAATTTTACGATTTAGCGACACGAGATGGAAAAATATACTTAAACTGATATAGTAGACAAAAGATG